TTCCAATTAAAAAAATCTGCTTATTTATTGCCATTAAGGCGGAACAAAGTTCGCCGGGTCAGCTAGTTGTTAATATTACACAGTTGTTGAATTATTTTGAATTTAAAACCCATGTTGTTTTCAGATATGGATGTATGGCTTATCTGTGTGGCTCACCTTTTTTATTACTCTGGCCATGTATCCTGCTGTAACTGTGCTTGTAAATTCTGTCGGTGCAGGAAGTCGCCGCCCTTGGAATGGTACCCTCTAGAATTTATATTGTGTTTCAATAGTGCTATTTAAATACAATACAAATAGTATATTTTTCTCATCTCTTGTGTTCTTTTCTTTTATCAGATGTATACTTTGTTCCTGTGGTGGGATATCTTATTTTTAGTACTTGTGACTATATTGGTAGAATTTTGGCTGGGATATTGAAATGGGTAAGTTTGCATTTTAACCTTCAAATATTTTATTTTGTATTGAATTGCATTTTATCATATTACATTACATTGTATTGTATTGTATGTTTTATGCAGGATATCTCAATAAACATTGCAAACTCTTAGAGCAAATAGAGTAGTTAGAGATGATCCTGTTTTACCAATGAACAATCGGTGGGAAATTTCATTTAATAAAATGACACCTGTAATTTCTAACATTGAGCCCCTGCATGGTAGGCAACACATCCTTCATTGATGCTTGGCAGTTAGACAACCCTTCATAAGAAGTGATGAGAAAAGGAGACTAGCAATGAAAATGTGATGCTAAGATAGTTATATTTCTTCTAGAGCTTTGACAACAAAAGTTACATTAAGTGATGCTCATGAAGTTTGACATATGTGTGGTAATGGCATTTCTCATTTTGACACACCCTCTTGGCCTAGTGTTGTTTGGACCATTTCAAATGCCAGGGATTTCATTCGACTCCCCAGAAAAAATCTAGGAGTGCGAAATCTGGTGACCTTGGATGGCAAGCAGTGAGACTAACACCTCCAATTACCCAAATTATATCATGAACAGGTACTCCTGAACAGTGTGTGGGAAATGTGTTAGTACCTCATTGTGAAGCATCCTCCAGGAGAATAGCATCTTCTATTGTCTTCTACAGAAGTGAATTATTGAGATGGGATAGCAAAAAGTGCATTGCTATCAACTGATGACCAATGATCTCAGTTCAAAAATTATCACAGAACCGCACTTATTGTCCACTGGTTAAATGCACCATGAGGATTCTCTTAGACTCACATGTGACTGTTTTTGGAGTTCAAAATGCCAGAGTTTGAAAATGTGACCTGAAAACTGAAAAAGTCATAGTGAGCGAACGTAGCTAATTTAACTCGTGCTACCAAAAAACCAACAGTACTCCACTTATCCACGGGGACAAGTGTTGCACATTTTGTAAATGGAACGAGTTAAGAGTTACTTCTCCTGTGGGGAATTTGAAACGTGCCTCTTATGTGGCATGAAGTGGCCCTCATGCTGGTGGACAGTACCCTCTCGCAGTGGTGCAACAGCTCAAATCATTGGGTGTGGGTGATCCAGTGTGCCATACATGAATACCTGTGCAGAAAAACTGCTTGTGTCTCAGAGCCACTAATCCACTCGCAACAACTATGTGCACTGGCCAGGAGGATGCTCTTGGTTTGAACTTCAAGCAGCTTTGCTATTGCTTTCAGCCATCTCTTACACAAACATCTCCACACACTGCAGATGGGTGGGTTTTTGCCAAGGCCGTTTAAATAGAGCAATGAAATACACAAGCAATATTGCAAGACGATCTCACAATGCGAAATGCTGCGAAAAGGTAATCTCAACAAGCCTCGGGTAATCTCGACAAGCCTAGTGATCCACAAGGGCGAACGGAAGGGACAGGATAGGGGGTTAGCAAGGCGTGAGAGTGATAACCCACCAAGCTTGAGTGCAGGATGAGCTCCCACAATCAGGTGAGCAGTGACAAATAAACTTTGTTAAATAAGCTTTCCCACCACATCTTCATTCCTTAAAAGTGATTGTCTTCAACCTCCCTACATGCTCTAGAAGTTCGTAACACTGATTCAGAAATGTTCTGCATATCAATGGCTAATAAATATTTGAACACAATATAATAGGAAATTAATTTTATTTATGAATGGTTTAAAATTGTTGTCCTAGAGATTGGTCTCTGGTTTCCTCATTATGGAATCTTTTGTTTCAGCCTCGACGGAGTGCGTGGTTGGTTGGTTTGTTGGCTGCCCTGCGTGTTGTGTTTGTGCCTCTTCTGTTGTTATGTAATGCTCACCCTAGGCATCATTTACCTGTATTAATTAATTCTGATGTGTATTATATCATTATCATAGTTCTGTTTGCGTTGTCAAACGGTTACCTGGCAAATCTGACTCTGATTTGTGTACCCAGGTAATTCCACCATCACTGTTACTAATTTCAATTTTCAGTTTATTATTATTTACAGTATTTGTAATTGGACATTGATAGTTGCATATTTTTACATTGTGGATATTTTGTATAATTCACTGTTTCTGTTGTAGATTGTTGAATTCAATTTGATCATTTTTTCCCTAGGGTTGTGGATGCAACAGAGCAAGAACTTGCTTCTTCCATGATGGCAGCATTCTTGGGAATAGGACTTGCTTGTGGTTCAACATTAAGTCTCTTGATGGTGCGGGCGCTTTGAAGAGGCTTGACAAAGGTGCTTCCTGCAACTGTAAGAATGTTGTGTGTTATGTATGATTATGTCAAGAGTTCACTGGAAGTACCTTTATCTAATGATCTCTTTTGTGAGCTTTGTTCAAAGAAGTTGAATTTAAATGTTCTCTGTATGTTGTACAAGTATTACGCATGCTCAAAGAGTTACTTTTAAATATGCTTTCAGTAATGTACATTAATGTACATTTTGATGTATAATTATCATTTAAAATATGTAGATTTTAATTACTTTGTCATCAATCTATCTCTGATTGCCATTAATTGAGATACATTATAATGCTACAAGACTGGAACTGAGATTATTGATGAAAATTACTGAATGTTGTAAAATTCTTCGTGAACACTTGAAGCATTGTTTCTGAAGATGCTGGCAACTGCATAGAACCCATTGTTACTGCTCTACTACTTGTTCTGTACAGGCAAACTGCCTTGAACCATTGTTGGAATATAGAGCTGTGAAGTATATGTGTGTTGCTCATTTTGTTACGGGTACTGTGAGAAATTCATTACATCGCGAGTACATATGTTTTTGTTATAGAAAGGTTGTACAGTAAGAGTAGTATTATGTATTAGTTTTACATATATTTTCTAATTGTACATTTTATTTATAAGAAAGTTAACAGATGACCAATGGTGTTAACACTTCGAAGTCAGCCTCTTCAACATTTTCTAGGACAACTCAAGCATTTATTTTTTTTGTCACTACATTCCATGTTGAGTATAAATATATTATGAAATTTTACCATATCCAGGGAAGAAAAATCATCAAGAATTTTTTTATGTAAATGTTCTCTTGAGCATAATTTAGACAATGAAATGTCATAAAATGGTGAACAGAATAAAAATTTTATACGAACCTATCCTATTTCACTTAAAACACAGATTATTTGTGATGTACATTAGAAAAATTTCTTTCTAAGCAACAATAAACCTTTTTAATATCTGAAATATATTTTTTAAGAGTTTAGAGTAAAATTTATAGAGTTTAATTCTTCTGTTTTGTTAAAATTTCAAATGAAAACATTTCAGAGGGGAAATTATTCTATTCCGTATTTATTTTTAAAATATTCTATTTATTAATGCATACTGGAAAGTGTAATAATCAATTATGCAATTATAATCTGGCATGAAAAACTCTTAGACATCAATTTGTTATGATTGTCTGGGAGCTTCATCTTCAAAGTGTTAAAGAGACAAACTTTCAATACTATGGAAATATCGTAAACCAAATGTAATATCCAAAATACTATTTTTAGGATGATACTGAATTTACCTGAATATAAGACTACTCCCTAATTATGAAAAGGTTACCTGAACATTTTTTAAAATTTATTTAAAAAATGTATTTATTTAGTCAAAATAAAATTGCAAATTATCAAGAAAATTGTCTTGCTGACGACAAAGTTAAAACTTTTTGCCTCAGCTAACACAATTTTCTTGTTCCTTACAAAAATCATCATCATATTTTTTGTCACTATCATAATATTCACATTCACTGTGTGTATGTGTGTGTTTTTTTTTAAACTTTTATCTGATGCCACATATCAACATTCTCTTCTGAATCACCAGATTTTCTTCTTGTCACGTTCTTGTTAGTGGCGTCTTAAACTCTAACAGTTCTTTTGCATTCTTTAACAAAATATACTTCACATTGTTATATAATTGACGTTGTTTATTGTTCGTGTGATGGACTTGAGAATTATGATCTAGGACATCTATTTCATCGATAACCCGAGAGTGACAAGTTTGCAAGTTCAGAAGTTTTTGCTACGAAAATATTTCTTTATCATTCTGTCTCTGTGGTTGGATGTCAAATGTGTACTGTGTACTTCTATCATTGTGTTTTTGTGTTTGTTGTTGTGTGTGTTTGTTTTCTTTTCTTTTCTCATCTCCAATTTGCAAACTGAGAGTCTACACAGCCTCTTTGGCACACTGTGTAACAAAATCTTAGCAGCAATTTTTATTCACTTTCACGTTAAGTTTCACTTATTACAATACTATTCAATACTATATTTTGAGATTCTCTCTTTATTGGCCCATTCAAAATATTGGTTTGGATCACCCTGCGAATTCATGAGTGATATCAAGAATGTCCATAAATATAGTTAGGTATTATAGATACACATGATTTTTAGTGTCTTTGCAATTTATTGCTACATCAGCATTTGAGTTTTTTGACATGGAAAGGCAGTGTAGAAACATAAATCAAACTGGCCAGGTGTAATCTGTGAATGTAAGAGGCCCTCTATTTTTTGAATGATATATTAAAGAAAAAACTTAGTCTTATATTCGGATAATATGAGCAACATGGAAAATTTCTTTAAAAAAGCAAAATTTCCCCATCAAGTTGCAAATTAAATACAAAACATTTCCTTTGTTATTGGAAATGACAAATAATAAAAATTATTGATCATGTAACAAATCAATAATGATGATAGAAATGAAACGAACTGAAAAATCAGGTGGCATATATGGCAGTATATGTTGGGAGGAAGGTTGTTTATTTAGTAAAATGTGATGTTTGGTTAACATTTGACATCCCTATGGATACTTTCATCAGTTTGTGGCCTGAACTTCATTCTGTGCCCATTATGCTTAATCTCTAAATCCAGTAATGAGTCACTGAATGATTTGTGAATGATTGCGTGAATGATTTGTTCTGAAATAATGTTGCTGTTTTGAAACAAACTGAAGTAAGCAAATTCAATTGACATGTTTGTAATCAGATTATAGTTTCTTGATTTTACTATGTAACAACTTGAAGTATGATTGTTTCACTGAAATGTGTACATGGTAAATTCATTGCTTTTTTTGTTTTTTGCATTGAGAATTCTTTGTTTTTCGCAGTATATGAAATCCAGTGTTTAGAATGGACTATGCAGAGCTCAGAACTGTGAAAAGAAAATTAGTACCTCATTTACCTGATAAAAGACGTTTTCCTAAATGCCTCATTCAAAAATATAGTATCATCTTACATCAGCAGATTAAATTTTCTCGGTGGAGATTAATGTTATAAATTGACTTTTACTACCAGGGAATTTGAAAGCTAATGTAACAAGAATCTGAAACTGCCAAAAATAAATTACATGTACTCCTGATAACATTCACATAGATTTCCTTAACATCCTTCAAGGATGACTCATATCAACATTTTAGAATGGATTGGTGAGCAGAAAATCTCAAGTGAATGAAATTCAACATGAAAATTTACGGAAGTCGTGACTGAGTTTTTGGTGAGGAATGAGGATAAAAGAGCCTTGCTGTTCACAACTTCATCATGCATGTATTAAACTATGGAAAGTTCAAGTTAATGTTTGTTAAAAAAGTAGAGGCAAAGAAAAACTGGCAGGAAAAAAATTGGTGTCGTAGATACGATGTTCAAAAGGCAAGGAACATAAATTCAATCTACAAAACTTTCAGATGGGTCTAAAAAGTCAGAGGGCAAAAGCATGGCATAGCATGGGAGGACCGGAAAAAAGTAACAATAAGACGAGTGAAGATGATGATTGTTGTGGCAGAAATGATGTTAATGATTATTGAATGAAGAAGAAAATTGTGATAGCACTGTTGAAAGTACTTGGCTTTCTTGTCAACAAGAACAATTTGCAATTTTATGATGACTACATAGTTAAAAATTAATTAAAAATGAAAAAAAATTTCTCAAGAGTTCTCTTCAAAATTACGGAGTAATTTTATAATGGCATGAATAAGGTAAACTAGAATATCAGACATACTTCTCAGATGAGTGAAAGGACCCTTGCATCTTGAGTGAATTCTTTTGGCTGATCTGTCTACTGTTCGATGTAGGTAGATTTGGAGAGCTGTGGGATCTGGAACCTCCATAACATACAACGTCTTTATATGGGTAGATTATATATCACATTTGAAGAAGAGTTTTGATGGTATATGTTAATCAAATTGAAAAACGGTAATATCCTGTATTGGTTCATTTTGGCATGGGGTAGTAATTTTGAAGATGTTTTATGTTTAAGTTGCATGTGAAATGTGAGTTCAAATGAGAAAGATTTAAAAAGATTTGTTATTATATTTATTTCAGTTGCAACAGTATTTGCAATATTTGCATTTTCTTCAGTTACTGTTATCTCATTTGTTTTTTCTCATGAAAAGGAACAAGGGGATAATGTCCTTGATCTTAATGATCTAAAGTATTATCATTAATGTACCAGTTATTCCTTGTGAAATTTAATTAGGTAATCTTTATCTACATGACTGAAAAGTGAGTTCATGTAAAAATGTAGGTTTTATACAAGATTTCTGAGTTGGGCATTTAATTGATGACTCTTGACACCAGTAAAAATACAGTAAGTCCCCTTTTTTACATTTTTCAAAGGTGAAGAAAATATTGTATAAATCATGGAAAAGTGTAAATGATTAGAAATTTCTTTTTCTTCTGTAATAAAGTATATACTTTTTTATTAATATTTATCTTTACTGAGAAATTTTATGTTTCTTAGGCCTTGCACTTAAAAATAAACACAAATTCTATGTTTTAGAAAATTTGTTTATAGAATACAAAGGCTTATCTTTTATTGAAAATATTTTATGCTCAAATAAACTCAAATTAAAACACTATAAACACTTTACAAAAATGATCATATTACTGTATTTAGTACCAAAGTACCTAGGAAACATGGCATGTGAAACAAAGGTGTGAGAAAGGTGTGAAAATAATGTCCCTCGCCGCTCTGTGATGGCTTCAACAAGATAATTTTTCGATAAAGTAAAATAATTAGACTGGCCTCGAGGATATTTCTATATGTCAATGAGTTGAAGTTTTATTAGCACACCCACGGAAATTGTTTTCAGTGTTTCAATACTTTCACTCTGGTGATGTACATGTTGGTTGTCTTAAGAGTTTGTAATGTAGCCTGATGATAGGGGAAAAAACATTACTGAAACTTTCAGAAGCAAATTTATAATTAATGACCGACTTGATTGATTCAAAAATCAATCGGGGACATAACAATTATAAATTGTCTTTAAAAATTGAAGCATTACGTTATGTTTGAAAACTTTCACTCCCGTTGGAAAAGAGATTTTCGTCGGCAATATGCGAAACGGTTCTATGTATGCAACCCGCAACGCAGTTCTAGAGAGTTCGCGGCTGCATTCTGTGCTTCATCAGTTGCAGAGGTAAATAATGTAAAGGGCGGGAAATTTGAATTTCAAAAGTATTGATAAGAAAGTAAATATTAAAAGAAATTTTACATTGTGTATACACGCGGTTTGAAGGGCCGGGAATAATCTGCGTAAACGACATGAAAATGTTAATTAAAAATAACACCAATTAAAAACGGGATTTTGCCATACATCTCATGCACAGTTCAATACACCATTGTTGTAGACACCATATTTAAAAGTGACTTCTAGAAAGTGTTTTGATAGTGTGTGGTGTGTGTGAAATCAGAATTGGATTATTGATCGAGAATTGTGAAGTATTTAGCTGTATTGAATTGAGTTTTATCAAGATACCATTAGTCTTAAATAGTAGTATTGTTAATTAAATAAAAAAACTGTAGCATTTGGTTGTTTGAACTCAGTGTTGGTGTACAAGGGAAGATTCCTGTAACTGGAAGACTCCTGTAACTGTCTTCTTGATTTAAAGTGATTTTCTGGTAATGTAACATACTTTCACTACTATTGCATGATATATTGCCAATAGTAAATTCTTACAGTAATTATTGCAGAGTGTGAAATAAATTGTGTTAGACAAATAAAATGCATAATGTTGAACCAACTTTTGTAATATTGTTTTCTGAAATCATCAAAGTTGTGGATTAGTTTAAGAGGTAAGGAAAGTTCCAAATTTTCAATTTTATTTTGTCGGTCAATTCTCTGGACCAGCTGTGTAAATGTACAACTGTACAGAAATGTACAGAACAACTGTACAGAAATGTACCATTAACTGGTTTTGCAAAAATTCTTTGTTTTAAGGTAATTAATTGCTGAAGTTGGTGAACATTATTCGCATTAGACCTGAAAACAACACATGCAGTCTCTTCATGTTCTTAAACTTCTCTCTATGTGTCCTCTCCCATCACATGGTTTAAATGTTCCTCTTGAAACATTCTATGGCCTTCATGAACCAACATGTAGCTTATGCAGCTAAAGAATTCACATTCTCTTTATAAACGTGAAGGAAATGTTATTTTTATTTGTCTTTGTGTGACAGTGAATGTGTGTTTCAGTGATCAGCTTTACTTCTGTACTTTTGTTTTTTCTTTACTAAGTGACTAGGGTGAGTCAAAATTCACAGAATGAAAAATTCGTTATTGGAACATCTTTTACTAATTAGCTATATATCAATTTATTGAAGGTCTTTCCAGATGTGCATGTCTCTCTGTTGTTTGTGATGTCATTCTGCCAAGAGTTCAAAAACAATGACAC